TAAACAATTGCATGGCTGTTCACATAAAATCCACAAACATCCAAAACGTTAAATACCATAAGCAGCTGTACTATAACTATATAAGCATAACTGTTTTACACCACAGAAATAGGGGTTAAGTCGACTTCTCTCGACCCCACCCTAACCCCGCGTACGTGCATGATTTGTAAAAGTAAAAAAAAAAAAAGGAATTAAAATATCTTGCAATAAAAGAATTCAGAAAACAAAAATAGAAGTGGATATATGATATTTCATAACTTCAAGAAATGTGGTTAGGGAAGATATCATTTTATATTGGTATGTTACTTCTGTACGTCTATTCCTTGGTTCAAAGTACATTGCTCATATACGTGAGTATGAATAGGAGCTGATAAATGCGTGTACTACATACAATTTCGCATGGCCTTGATCACAAACACGCAAAAAAACAATCTCTTAATTTCCGTTTAACTCGGGCACATTCAAATTGGTTTCGTTAATCGTAGATACGGAAATCAACGAAATTGGTATTTCCATGAGCATAAGTTAATCTTTACGATAAGCATATAAAGGTTTTCTCAAGGTCAAATAAAGTGGTGAAAAAGGATACGCTGCAATTTTTCTTAACCTTCAGTGACCAACTAAAGAAATATGAGTATGATAAATACAAGTTTATTTTATATTGAAATAAATGAACAAACGAACTATGAACTCATTAAAAAATACAGATATAATAAATATCGATTTCAATATGAGTATCATAAATACAGGTGTATTTTATATTGAAATAAATGAACAAACGGACTATGAACTCATTAAAAAATACAGATATAATAAATATCGATTTCAATATGAATATGATAAATACAGGTGTATTTTATATTGAAATAAATGAACAAACGAACTATGAACTCATTAAAAATACAGATATAATAAATATCGATTTCAATATGAGCATCATAAATACAGGTGTATTTTATATTGAAATAAATGAACAAACGGACTATGAACTCATTAAAAAATACAGATATAATAAATATTGATTTCAATATGAGTATCATAAATACAGGTGTATTTTATATTGGAATAAATGAACAAACGGACTATGAACTCATTAAAAAATACAGATATAACAAATATTGATTTCAAATGATTTTACTTTAATATCTAATTCTAAGGGTGGATTTTAAAGACTGCTGCATGAGACGGCCTTGGGATTTTTAACATCATCATCATGAATTAACCATAGTCTACCGCATTAGGTGGAAGTTCGTGTGTGGAATAACAATTTCCGAAGAAAATAACTGAAGGGCTTTTCTTCCCAGGAGGGTTTTATTTGTTTGTGTATAGCCGTTCGTAATTTTGAACTGATAGACTAGATGGAATGCAGCTAGATCACAGCGTCCACCGCCACCTCTTGAGCTACTCCTGTCTGACCGAAAAGTGTAATATGACCGTTACTCTTACAACACACCCATGGCCCCAGTGGGCGGAAAGCGGATTCACAGTTTGGCACGCTAACCACTGGGCCACTCCCCGTCCTCTTAAGGAAGGAAAGCGCTATTCTTGTAAAACACTGTAGTTTAAAACAGCTGTGTAGATGCTCACTTCAACTAACTAAAGTCTTAGTAAAACACTGGTCTCGTCTTCTCGGTTTCAGAGAGTGCTAACTGAGGAGATTTCTGTTGCTAACGGACGTTTGAAATTTATAGTATTTGGTACTTTCCAGTTCACCCAAGTCCATAAACATGGTCTCTTTTAATGAGGTACTAAAACTAAATCTCTACGTGACAGCTGTTCCCTGTTACTCCGTTTATGAGCACCCATACAACAAGCTCTATCTGACGCTCTGGTAAAATACGTGACGACATTGGCATGGGTGAATGTACCTTCGAATTTAAGAGATGATTTAAATGTGTCAGTATTTAACAGGTAAAGTGATTGGTAATAGTTGTACATGTGACTTTGCTTCAGTATTTAACAAGTAAAGTGATTGGTAATACTTGTACATGTGACTTTGCTTCAGTATTTAACAGGGAAGCGATTGGTAAGACTTGTACATATAATATTGTTTCAGTATTTAACAGGGAAGCGACTGGTAAGACTTGTACATATGACATTGTTTCAGTATTTAACAGGAAAGTGATTATTAAGACTTGTATATATGACATTGTTTCAGTATTTAACAGGGAATTGATTGGTAAGACTTGTATATATATTAGGGACCTCAAAGTGACAGGACTTAGCTATGTTCTTCAAGGCGAAACATACACAAAAACATACATTGGTCCTAACTGTAGTACTGAGTTTGTATTGAGTGCACAGATAAATACAGAATGTTTAGTATCAGTAAATTATGAAACAACTTGTTAGCGTTGTATGACTAACTGATACAGAACTTTCCCTTATTACAGTGGTTCTTAACATTTTTTAGGCTGCGGCCCAATTCTGGTCGTAGGGCTAGTTCGGCGACCCATGCCTTCAAATATGCTCCCCCCCCCTGGTGCAGTCACTGTTGGATTACAAATGAAAGTTCGGACAGTCACTGGAGGCCCTTGGCGACCCTCTCAAAATAGCTTGGCGACCCAAGGGTCAAAAACCACTACCTTATTGAAACTACTTTGTAAAGTTTCAAAGTTTTCATTTAGTTGGTTGAAACAGTGCATAAACTATCGTTAGCAGGTCTCAAAAATGTAAGTTACATAAGATAAACTTATTTAACCTATATAACATAACGCTAATATAAGCTATGTATGATAACACTATCATTAGCTACATAAGATAATAATATAAGCTGCGTATGATAACACTAACATAAGCTGTGTAAGATAACATTAATATAAGCTATATAAGCTAAACTAATATAAGCTACATAAGATAAAACTGATATAAGATGCATAATACAAAATTAATATATGCTACACAAGATAACAGTAATGTAAGCTACATAAGATAAAACTAATACAAAATACATAAGACAAAATTAATAGAGGCTATAGCCGTATAAGTTAACACTCCTACAAACTACATAAGGTAAAACTAATATAAGCTGTTGTTATCTAACATTAATATAACCTATATTTTTTATTACTGTAATATTTCACATCATGTTTTACCTGTGGTAATACAGAGTTAATGTGGCCTACAGATGTTTATGATGTTGTTGGAAAGAGCAAAAAGAAAAAACAGGTGTTCCTAACCTGATGTTGAACAAAGCCAGAGGACTTATTTGATTGTGAAAAGAGAGATGGGACATAGATCTGAAACTGATGTGGTAATATACTGGAGATAGACATTTCAAATTGATGCGGTAATGCTTTAATGGTTAACTTTATGTTTGTATCATATAACGCGGAGAATAACGATATTGCTGCTGCTCTTTTCTGATTCACACCATTTATCTCCAGGGTTAGAATAAGCGCTTAAGCCTGAATTAGAGAAGTATTTCATAATTAAAATATTTTTAGGATATGTCTTACTTCTTGATGTAGAATATAGTTTTTCCGTAGAAGCAAAATTCAAGATTGTTATTACATTTAATGCATTAAATTTGCCAAATTCAGACAGTAGAAATATTGACCACATCTCTACTGTGAAATGGGCTGCTTTGAATAAGAAGTGACGCAAGTGTTTTGCCATTTTTGCCAAGTTTTTCGACTCAGCTACTACAGCTCTCACTTCCGACCCACTTCCGCTGTCTTACAACTATTTTCTTAGAGAATGAACGATACTGAAAATCCTCGCAGAGATTTTACTCATTTTTAGCCAATTTGTGAGTGTTTCTGCGTTTTCAAGGGAAAAAAAGCGGAGGAATGCAGTCTCCTTAAAATAAACTGCAAAACATTTAAGGTAAGACATTTAAAGTACATTACAAGAGCTTCAAAAGGAAAGCCCATTATGGACTGAGAGCTCACTTTTGTATACTTTCACCAGATCTGTATGGCTTTCACCAAGGGCAGAGTTGGATATACAATTTGCCTCTCAAAAATTAGTCAAGTTGCACATCTACTTAATTATATGCTATGTAATATCAAACTGATCTCATTATATAAGACATAATAAAGGATTAACCTGGTGGTGTAGGATACACCACACGCCTGATTCAATTGTATAACGTATAGCATGAAACTGGCCTATTGCTATAAGATATAGCATACATTTACCTGATAATAAAAAAGTATAACAAGAAATGATCTGTGGATCTAACGGAAATGTTATTTTAAACACTGATTTAATCCAAATCTAAAAATGCACTGACACACGTAACATGTATGTATGACATAATGATGTAACAACTATGAACAGTATCTGGTGCTATAATATAACACAACTACATAACACGGATAGTTGTTTGGAATAATTATCACAGGTATGGCAAAATCGTGTAACAAAAATATATGACCTAGCTTAGGTATGACTTGTAAAGTACCTAGCGTTATGCGTATGCAAAAGAAAAATGATGTAACAATTTACGCAAAAACAACTAACTTCACAGACGCGAATCTACATGGCCATGACAAATTACACGCGCAAGACGTTGTTCCAATATAACAGCAGCTGTCTAAACTCGTAATGGTAAACAATGTGCTGTTCCCATCGTGAGAAGTTGCATAAACATTAATACGAAAAACGTTGTCAGGCAATATCCCGTTGAATGATCAATTAGGTGTACAAGTATTTAAAAATAGCCTACGAGAGACAACCTAACATACATTCATAACCTCCATGATTCTGTTTAAAAAAACAAGTTAAAATACGGCGGTAAAAACAATGACTCACTGTTGATCTTCTTGACGTAACGTCAGTTATTCCCTAGTCTTTACATCATCACAGATGACGTCATTAGATAGATTTTACAACACAACAAGACTTACTGCAAGTTATGACTGACTGACTTACATAAATAGTATCTATCAGTAATATTAGAACTTGAAATGGTATATCATTTAATAGTTTTGATTCCATAAATGAGTTAATTAATCTATGTTATCTATAAAATATCATCCTTTTGATACACTCACCAAACACTTTTTACCTTTTATGTCTTCACAAATTGTCTCAACAGACTGTCTTCACAAATTGTCTCAACAGACAAACAAGTGTTTACAACATTAGCAGCTGTGTTCTAGACAGAGCAGTAGGTCTTGGAAGTGATCTATCGACAGACAAGCAAGTCTTCACAACATCAGCAGTTGTGCTCCAGATAGTGCAGTACGTATTGACGAGATGTATCGACAGACAAACAAGTATTCACAACATCAACAGCTGTGTTCCGGACAGTGCAGTAGGTCTTGACGAGATGTATCGACAGACAAACAAGCCTTCGCAACATCAGCAGCTGTGTTCCGGACAGTGCAGTAGGTCTTGACGAGATGTATCGACAGACAAACAAGCCTTCGCAACATCAGCAGCTGTGTTCTAGATGTGCAGTACTTCTTGACGAGATGTATCGGCAGACAAACAAGTCTTCACAACATCAGTAGCTGTGTTCCGGATAGTGCAGTACGTCTTAACGGCATCACGACACTCAGTATCTTCCTACAAGTAAAATTTCCTGTTATGCTTATGCCATTTCTAGTGGACAGCGCCATCTAGAATAAATCACCCTATGTTGATCGCAGCGCGTAAAGCCTCAAGAGACCTTCAGCTGAGAACGAAGATTAACGAGAAACACGAGCTATTTTTAGCAGTCGGCAAGTACGAGTACATGCAACTGTCGTCTGGTGACAAGAGTGGGAGGCTTGAGGTGGTTGCCTGGAAACGGTGCATTGCAGACAAGGCTCCTTTTAGGCAATGAAATATCTAATATTCCCTGAGTTGTTTCAATTTCGGGATCACATTTTCGTGGTTGTCTTTACACATGAATTAACCAGAAAAATAAGATGTGTTAAAGGTTTCTTTCGGTACACCAACTCAAAGCGAAGTTCTCAAAATACATCTAGAGATTATACACTGAATATATAAGAAATCCGTTTAGTATATAACATTCACAAACAAAGTGTGAAAATATTATTCACGCCTTTTACACATATTCCAGCATCGATATCCTCCAAACTTCCGATGTAACTAGTGAAGTATATACAATTAATGTTATATATTTGGTTAGCGGCACACTTAATGCTTAGACATGTACTTTCTGTTATAAATAGGGGTTAAAGCAGTCTTTTTTTTTTTAGTCTATACGATAGTGTTTGAAACGTTTTGACAATACTAAATGAAAGATGTGTATACAAACCATAAAGTATAGAAAACTATTATCGAGTTGAGGAACAAGTCTAGACTTCATGAGCGAATAAAGAGGCAGTTGGTGTCCAAAACATTTAGGAAACCTGACCTCACCGTGTCTTTCTAACAAGAAGCTCGGAGAGTTACTAAGTTATAGTACTTACTCATGATAACTAGGAATGTCTACTGTATTCTTCTGTTCTGTGGGTCGAAATGGGTGACATTTAGCCTAAATTCCCCATACCAAAAAGCAAAGATTTTTAAAGATAAAGATATGTTGTGCAAGGGGATGTTATAATTAACATGTAGCTGTTAAAATGCTGTTATTTAAGAAAAAAAATACATTTTTGTATAGCCAACAATCAGATGTCCTTTATTTAAGCTAATTTGAAACAATAAAATCCTTTGATTTGATGGATTAAGGACACAAAGTTAAGATACATAATCTCTAGAGAAGAGAGAGAGATGAAACAGTTACCGGAAACTATTGTTTCATGTGAAATCGCTCATTTAGCAAACGTGTACGTTGTTTTATTTTCTGAACTTGTACAGATGTATAATTGTAACATTTCATTAAGAAGACCTAGGATAGAATACTGACCACTACCAATAAATATAGAGGTTAAGTACGTTATATTAACAGCTTTGGAGCCTTAACACGTCGTTACAATCCGTGTCACGACGTCTGGTGATGCTCTATCTGACGAATGGTGCATCTTGACAATAACCCTGCAGCGTAGTTTCCTCAGAAAAAGGTTCCTTCTTAAGACTGTCAAGTCCAAAGTACATCAATCTTCTCTGCTTGCTTTCAAAATTTCATCTAGTATACGAGGAAGTCGATTACCTAGAGCCTATTTCAAAGTCCGATCGCACAGAAATCCATAGGCGACTTGAACAGTATGTTTTTATATGGAATAGTATGAATACCTATTTCATTCTCCAGCGGCTTGAAGTATGCGACAGTTTAACATAGAACCAGCTTGTACACGTGACTTGTGTCGCTTTTCCATGCAGAGATCCATTTTGATTATGTCAGATATTGTTTCAAGGGGCTCGTGAACGGATTTTGCACCACTGACCTTTGTGTTTGTGGATTCTCACCTGTTAAAGGCGCCGCACTTTGCTTACCACGGCTGGCATACGACTTGTTTCACATCTCTTTCTAGAATGTCCTGGTGGCCCAAGTTGATCAATATTCCTCTCTTTTTTATTAATGTTATTAAGTACAAGGGCTATCCCGATTTTGGAAAATGGAAATCCCCGATCCGGACACACCTTTGTGACCTGAGTTTGTTAATATTTTAGGCAGAAAGGGATGTTTCATACCCCTTCTCAAAAATAATCAGTTATTGGTGGCGTCACAACATCTACATAACGCCAAACAGTATCAAAATATAGTTGTGATACATGCCATTCTATAAATTTATATAGGCTGTGGTTGCCACGTGACTTTTTGATTGTTATGTTCAAAATCGTTTTAATATGTCGTATTCAGTACTGTGTATTCCTTCTCAGGACGCCCCCATCCCTGAAACTGAAGGCTTATAACGCTAAGCACCAGGCTTCGATTCCCGTGGTGGGCATGGAACAGATAGCCCATCGTGTTGCTTTGTGCCTTACAACAAATAAACAAACCTGCTCAGGACTTCCTTGAAGATGGCAGCAGATCAGTAATCGAAATGAAGGATAAAATCTGTTTAATATCAAACTATAAATAAGTTATAATAAAAAGTACGACAAACAGAGAAAAAGGTTACTAATTAATAATTAAAATTTCGGTGACCGTACAGGCTTACTAACCATGATAACGACTGATATTCGATCACCACAATCTTAATGTACATTCATAACGCTGATGCGTATTTAAGATATTTTTCTTATCTTTGAATAAAAACAATGAATATACCTGGAAAACACTCACAACTAGTATAGTTAACATCAATGACACAATATTTATTTTGAAACTCTGTGCATGTTAGGTGAAGTTTTATTCAATTTAAATTACTGTTTGATGTTTTCATCTTAATGTTTGAACTTCAAAATGATCATATGTGTGTGGACGTAATGTTGTACTTTATTTAATAAAAGGTTTTACACATTCAAAGCTATTTTGTTTTACATTTAATTCATTTGTATGGTGGAATATTCTCCAGTATTATATTTGAGATCACAGCGCTGAACAGAGGAAGTCTGTTGTTTTTATTTTTTTACTGTGCCGTTGATGTTAACCAAACTGAAGCTGAGGACTTTCCCAGGATACTCATCGTTCTTATTCAAAGATAAAGAAGAAAAATACCTTAAAGATGCATCATCGCATTAAAGTCGACAAAACAAAACAAAAAACAAAAAAACAAGTTATCCATACAATATCACAGGAGAGTTTACATTATCTGATTATAGCTCTCCAATCAACATAATGTTATTAACTAAATATATAACTTCAAGATATGGAGATCAAGGAAAAATACTGTTTAAAGAAGTTCAAAAACATACTACTTGAAATAAAATAAAATAATAATGAGTCTGTGCTTCTAAAAATAAGTCTCCCGGTGGGATAGCGGTAAGTCTACGGATTTATAACGCTAGAATTAGCGGTTCAATTCCCCTCGATAGACACAGTAGATAGCCAGATTTGGCTTTGGTATAAAACACACACTCCTAAAAATAATACAGGAAACAAGGTATATTACTAAAATTTTTAAAGATCAAGCTTTTTTTCAAAATGAAAAAATTAAAATAATTTTAAGGAAAACAGAAAAACGGATATTAAATGAAATCATAAACCGAAATTGTAGAGACATAAAGTTTTTAAGAAGAGAATATGTGAATAAAGGAATAATCTTGCTTCAAAAATAACACCCGAATACTTAAATATGGTCTACAAAGTTATCAGTATAAACTGTATGAACAAAAAATGAACTTCATCAAGTTGGACGATGCAATCAAGGAATCAGAGAAATAAATAATTTTGACATAGTCAGTTTATCAGGTTTACAGCTACTAAAGTGGACTTTTTGAATAAAGGACTCGAATGTGCTGTGATACGTAATAAGATCCCAATACTGGACATTAAAAGACGACTAGTACAACAAGTCATGTATCCTGAAAATTAAAAAAAGGGGGAGTGAATGTCTAAAGAAGATCCAAACAAAACAGCAAAGAAAACATTTGATGACCATGATGAAGAAGGCAATGAAAATATCCTTATCAATGTCATCTTCCCAAAATTTCTAGAAAATTTGAAAAAGGAAATGTCTTCTAGAATAAGAAGTTATATGCTTAAACCCAATCAAATTAAACAAATTATTTGTTTGTTTGTTTGTTTGTTTTGAATTTCGTGCAAAGCTACACGAGGGCTATCTGCGCTAGCCGTCCCTAATTTAGTAGTGTAAGACTAGAGGGAAGGCAGCTAGTCATCATCACCCATCGCCAACTCTTGGGCTACTCTTTTTACTAACGAATAGTGGGATTGACCGTCACATTATAACGCCATGACGGCTGGTAGGGCGAGCATGTTTGGTGGGACGGGGATTTGAACTCACGACCCGAAGATTGCGAGTCGAGCTCCCTAACCACCTGGCCATGCTGAGCCAATAAACAAATTATTACTCAATATGAAATGCAAGCTTTAAGAGAAATGAAGAATAACAGTAAAATTATCATTTTGAAAACATATAAAGAAAGAAATAAAAAATGCCTAACGGAAAAGAAATTGTATAAACAACTAATGTATCGATTTAAATTATATTTCTAAATTTAAAAAAGTAATAAGAATTTAAATTATGAAAACAACTAAATAGTTTATTTTTCTGAAATAAAAAAAGAGAAATTATCTGTGAAGATTCATATAGCTGTTTTAGAGTTCCAAAAATAAAGACCCTATTGAAATTCACCCTATACTTTCAACCTTTTCTAGTTATTACTACTTATTATATTTCTTGTGTGTCTAATAAAACATTATAAAAGAAACAAATACGCAGTTAAAAATGTTTCCTAAATAGCTCGTACACCAAAATGAATAGTTTGATGTAGTATCAATAAACACCACTACTCCAAAACACGAAGTAGTTAATCTAGCGTTATAATTAATATCTAAAATCCCAGATAAAATTTATTTCATTCTTTCATTAGAAATACTACAGAAGCTTTTCCCAAGAGATTTACAAAAGGCCGTTTAGTTTCAAAATGAAATTTTTAAACAGATAGAGGGTTAAGCATGGCAAGTTAAATCCAAGACTTTGTGAACTGTTAACTGACAAATATCAGATATTTTAAAATAATATAAACAGTACTTATCCAAATATAAAATTTGCATGTGAAAAAATACTTAATTTTTTAGAT